GCTCTACGTTCAGTGGCTATATTGCTGCTATCAGTTTTATTTGTTCTTGGTTTTTCTTTGTAGCAATTTGATAATGCTGACCAGCTGGATTGCTGGTCATTTCATCACCATTAGGAATGAAATTAAGAATTAAGCATTTTCATTTCCATGAAAAATGGGGGAGGTGATGGCCTAGTGGTATTATTGCTGGACTGTTAACCCAGAAACCCAAATAATGTTATGGTGACTCGGGTTCAAATCCCACCACAGCATATGGTGGAATTTGAATTCAATAAATATCTGGCATGAAGAGTCTAAGGATGACAATGAATCCATTGTTGATTATCGGAAGACTCCCTCTGGTTCACTAATGTCCTTTAGGGAACAAAACTGCTGTCGTTTCTTGGTCTGGTCTGACACAGCAAATTGGTTGACTCTTAACTGCCCTCTGGGCAATTAGGGATGGGCAAGAAATGCTGCCTGGCCAGTGACGCCCTCATCCAGTGAAAGATTAAAAAAAACACGAAAGTCATGCTAAATTTTATGAAATCATTGCAATCCACCTTTGCAAAGTCTTATTCTTGTCAACGTATTGTCATAAGTGCAGGTGTAAAGACCAGCATTTAACTAATTAGTTAACTTGTTGAAAGTTGACAGGTTTACTGGTGTCCTTTGTGACCAGATGGGCAATATTGCTGCAATCAGAAGTGCCATTTAAAATCCAGACCAAGATGGTTTTATGCCAGAATCATTGGAGCATGTCCAAGCACTTTCTTTCCATCACTTGCTTTCTCCTTTAGTGAGAAAACTCCATCATTACTCTGTTTTAAATCTGTCCTTGCCACCCCTCTTGGGCAAATAATTTCATTCATGGTCCCCTTTCTGTTACTAGAGACCTGTTCCAGATTCCTTTGCTTTTCTTTCATGTAGTTCTTTTCCAACATTTTCTTCCATTATCAGCTCTAAACTTCTGTCAAGGTTCTGTCGTTTTCTCCCATTCAAATTTCACTGCAACCCATCCTACTTTGGGACTGTTTTATTTTCTTTACTGGCTTTCTGAAGCTTATTGCAGCTTATTGAAGGATCCCGTGTCTATCACGCTTTGTTTTCCAACTCTTTCTCATTATTTAAGAGTTTACAGGCTTTTAATCTATCACTGTGCTTATGCCCTCCACTTGCGTTTTCTGTGATTACTTTGAACGTTTGTTGAACATCTTGCCCACCTTTATACCCAAGCATTAGTGTGCCTTCTCCCTTTGTAGTTGGTGATGGACTTGCCACCTGTTGCCTGCCATATTCACCTTGTTTTGCAGTGTTCCATAATTCATGATTTTTCATTACCTCTATAATCTCTGCTTATAAATTGAATTCACTGCACCAATCATTACTGTTGATTTGCACTTTTAGCACACTTGGCTCAAATAATAAATCAAAAAGGGACGAAAACCCAACCCACCTCAATTTCTTTATTACAAACATAATCTGAGATGATGGGAATCAGTCTCTCTATCGTTCAGAACTATTTAAATGACTTGCAATAAATCGTTGTCTAAACTTTTGTTTGAAGCCTGAGGTATCTTAAAACATGCCTACCTTGGCTGATCGAGATTGTAACTTGAGGTTAATAAAATTGAGACAACTGCTATTTTCTATTATAAAACAGGAAGTGCTGGAGAAATTCAGCAGGTCGGGCAGCATCCGTGGAGAGAAAAATAGGGTAAACATTTACAGTCCAGTGACCTTTTATCAGAACTGAAAGCAGCTGGGAAATGGTGGTATTTATGCTGATGACATGCTCCAGCAATCTGCTTTTGTTTGAGATCTCCACGATCTGCAGTTCTTTGTTTTACTTCTCTTTTTAGAAGTTTTTGTATGGACAAGGATAATCAGAGGTTGTAGACTTGTTTGCCAAGCCGGTGTGTTCAGCTGCAGACGTTTCGTCACCTTGCTAAGTGACGTCATCAGTGCACCTCCGGTGAAGCGTTGGTGTTCTGTCCCGCTTATCATTTATATGCCTCAGTTTGCTGGGGTGGCTAGCATTACTTCTGGTTCTGTTTTTCAGTGGTTTGTATATTGGGTGCAGTTCAGTGTGTTTGTTGATAGGGTTCCGGTTGGAATGCCAGGCCTTCAGGAATTCCCTGGTTTGTCTCTGTTTGGCTCGTACTATTATGGATGTCCTGTCCCAGTCAAATTCGTGTCCTTCTTCGTCCGTGGTCCAGACGGGGATAAACTCATATAAAGTTCAATAGAAAGGCGATTAGATATCAAGCTCTATAGCTCGGTAGTGGGGAAAATGCTTAAATCTATCATTAAGGAAGAAATAGCAAGACATCTGGATATAAATTGTCCCATTAGGAACACCCAGCATGGGTTCATGATGGGTAGGTCATGTTTAACTAATTTGGTGGAATTCTTTGAGGATATTACTTGCATGGTGGACAATGGGGACCATGTGGATGTGGTGTATCTGGATTTCCAGAAGGCATTTGACAAGGTGCCACACCAAAGGCTGCTACATAAGATAAAGTTGCACGGTATTACAGGTAATGTATTGGCATGGATAGAGGATTGGTTGACCAGTGGAAAGCAAAGAGTAGGGGTAAATGGGTGTTTTTCTGGTTGGCGGTCAGTGGCTAGTAGTGTGCCTCAGGGATCAGTGTTGGGACCTCAATTGTTTACAATTTACATAGATGATTTGGAGTTGGGGACTAAGTGTGGTATGTCAAAATTTGCAGATGACACTAAGGTGAGTGGTAGAGCAAAGTGTGCAGAAGACACTGAAAGTCTGCAGAGGGATATAGATAGTCTAAGTGAGTGGGTAAAGGTCTGGCAGATGGAGTACAATGTTGATAAGTGTGAGGTCATCCATTTTAGTAGGAATAACAGCAAAATGGACTATGTTTTAAATGGTAAAAAATTGCAGCACGCTGCTATGCAGTGGGACTTGGGTGTCCTTGTGCATGAATCGCTGAAGGTGGGATTGCAGGTGATTAAAAAGACAAATGGAATTTTGTCTGCCATTGCTAGAGGATGGAGTTTAAAAACAGAGACTATGCTGCAGCTGTATAGGGTCCTGGTGAGGCCACACCTGGAGTACTGTGTGCAGTTTTGGTCTCATTACTTGAGAAGAGATATACTAGCACTGGAGGGGGTGCAGAGGAGATTCACTCAGTTGATTCCAGAGTTGAGAGGGTTGGATTATGAGGAGAGACTGAGTAGACTGGGATTATACGCATTGGAATTCAGAAGAATGAGGGGAGATCTTGTAAAAACATATAAGATTATGAAGGGAATAGATAAAGTGGAGGCAGGGAGGTTGTTTCCGCTAGCAGGTGAAACTAGGACTAGAGGGCATCGCCTCAAAATAAAGGGAAGGAGATGTAGGACTGAGGTCAGGAGGAACTTCTTTACCCAAAGGGTTGTGAATCTGTGGAATTCCCTGCCCAGTGAAGCGGTTGAAGCTACCTCACTGAATGTTTTTAAGGCAGGGCTAGATAAATTTTTGAACAGTAAAGGAATTAAGGGTTATGGTGAGTGGGCGGGTAAGTGGAGCTGAGTCTCAAAAAGATCAGCCATGATCTTATTAAATGGCGGGGCAGGCTCGAGGGGCCAGATGGCCTACTCCTGCTCCTAGTTCTTATGTTCTATATCCATCATTCATTGATTGAGTTTGTCTATACAGAGCTAAACAATTTCTGAACTTTTTCTAACATTTGATTTTGCAACTCCTGTTGTCGCCTTTAGTAGCTCTTCATAGTATCCCCATGTAGGTTTACATAGCAATCATTCCACAGGTTAGATAAATTGAGATTGTTCTGAGTCTTTCAAACTGTCATACGTTTAATTTTGTGTGGCATTCTCAACAGAATGAAGCTGTTTAAGCTCTCTCTGCGATGTTTATGGTGGATGTCTATTAAATAAGTCAGTCTACATGGTTGCTGCTGTACTAGAATTTTTCTTGCATTTTTGAAAATCCAGTGTGGCTTTGTTTTTGGTGCATTTTTTTATTGCCACTGCACCACTTGAGCTTTTTGTTTCTCCACTCTGTAGCTCTGTTCCTTGTGTGTTTAGCTTTGCATTTTACCTGTCAGTCACTGACCCTAACTGTCTTCTCTTCCTGGTGTATTTTCTCTGCATTCATTGTGCTCCCACATGGTACTATTGTGTAAAGCTGTCCTGTGTTAGTTTTCATCCATCGTAATTGATTTCTGATCAGTTGAATTTTCCTCCGTTTTGATCATGCTGTATTACTTCAGTAAAACAATTGAAAATTGCATAATTTATGATCATTGTCCAATGCAAATCAGATTGTGGATTTCACCCAAAATCCTACAGCATCATGCACTGTAATCTTTAATGGAAAGGGGAAAGTAAGAGTGTGAAGGGTTGATTCAGCCCAATCATGCTAATCACCTTCCATCACATTCATTAAAGCACATTTTAGCTGAATTTAAATTAAATATGTTTTGTTAGGAGTGCATCTTTCGGCAGTGTATTTGGTTAACATCTGAATGGGGAACCTAGTCTAGGAAAATCATATTGATTTTTGGGTCACCAACACAACACAATGGTTAGTTCAAAGCTGTTTGTAAGTTGTTTTAAGCCTTTGCAAAGTTACAGAGCCAAACTTGTTGATACACTGAGTATTTTAGATGTGATGTATGTGGTGTTTTGTCTTTCTTTATATCCTGTTTGAAGATACTTAGAACCTGTGCAGTACTCTGAAGAAATCCCTAAGCATTAGTAAATATTACTATCTGATAATGACCATAATTTGTTTATGGTGTTGGTTCAGTATTGGTCAGTAAAGCAAAGCTACCCATGAAGCTATGAAGAAGCAGTGGTTGTCTGATTCCTCCCAGTCTAATGAGAATGAAGAGTGGTGCTGTTCCTTTTGAGTTGACTGTTAGTTTTGTTTGAAACATAATCTTTCCAGCAGCGCATGGCATGCAATGCATTTAAAGCAGTGTTTCTATTCTGATAGATTCTGTGCTAACATGATCTAATTGGTCACCACCCAGGAAATGGAAAAGGAAGAGGCTGCTGGAAAAGGAAGAGCAGCAAGCAAATGGCGAAGGTGCTGAGTCCGATGAAAGTGACGCAGAGTTTGATGAGGGGTTCAAAGTGCCTGGCTTCTTTTGGAGAAAGCTATACAAGTACGTAAAGGCATAATGACTGTCACGGAATATAGATAAAGTTGCAGGGATTGCAGTAGTGGTAGTGGCAGTGCATTTTTCCAGGAAGGAAAATGTCTGTTTACATTGGTGGACTCTTTCTCTGCCTCTGTCTAAGAAGCAACAATGAGTTTAGAAGTAACCACACTGTACTGCAGCTAACATGGGAACATATTAGGTGCTGTGGAACAAACAAATTGGTAGGATATGAGGATGACATGTTTGACTCCTGAGAATGATAAAGCCAGTGATTTTGAATTTTATTTGAGTTAATTGATTTGAATATCTATTTACTAACTGACTCTTGTCAAATGCCAAGAAAAGTGATGCATAATTTCAGTCTTGGGCTGGACAGTTTTCAATACCATCATTTTATGTCACTGTGGGAAAGAGTGGCATGCACTTCTATATTTTCCTTGCTAACCTTTACTGACCGTTAAAACAATTAATAACTATTTCTAAATGGAATAGACATGGATCATGAAGCATTTAGCAAATTAGTTGAAAAATTCAGTGCCCACTTTTAAAATCTATTAAGCCAAGTATGATTTGAAGAAATATATATTCATAAACATTATGGGATTTGTTGCTTGTGAGATATTGACAAAGACTGTTAAATTGGAAGCATACATAACAAAGAGTGCTCTATAATGGATCCTGTCAAATTAATTGCACTTTCAAGCAGTTTTTTTTATTTAAAGAAACATTTTGCTTTGTGTCCTTGCACCAAAATTGCAGTGTGATTCAAATATTGCCAAAGTGTGCTGGCATGGAGCATTTTTATTGTTTCTGGTTTTGAATTGAATTAGTAATTGTACAGTAGTAGATGATTCATTTATGAATGTATTTCATTATGTTTTGTTTTAAAAAAAATCATTTTGATGCACCCAGGTATCAGCAGACAGGTGTTCGGTGGCTTTGGGAATTACACTGCCAACAGGCAGGAGGAATTTTGGGAGATGAAATGGGACTAGGCAAGACCATCCAGATAATTGCCTTCTTGGCAGGCCTGAGCTACAGCAAGATAAGGACACGAGGCTCAAATTACAGGCAAGTACCCCACTGCAGACTGTCAGTCTGTGCAGCTCAATTAATATTTCATCAGTTGCATTGCTGTTGTAGGAGGGACTCGTGAATTTTTAATGACATTTCAATTACAATATTCCTTTAATTCTTTTAGTACAACCATCAAAGGGAATTTTTACGAGATGTAGGAGCTGAAGGGCAAGAGAAATTAAACATGTAACACATTCAATGAAAGGCAAAACATTTTTACTTCACTTCTCAGACGAGAAACATGTGATGCCATGAGTCGATAAGTTGCGTAAGGTTATCATTCACAGTAGGGGTTTGTTTGCAAACTCACTTATGCCTCAATATCAATAGTTTGTGTAAACAGAATTTTAAATTGCCTATATAAATAGTAGCTTAGTTTATTAAATATTGTATAAAATCACTTTTGGCAGCATGCAGTGTCCACAGCTTTTACACTGTAATGAATATCTTTGGATACTGTCAGTCAGTGCTTAAAAAGACAGCATAATGCAGATGTAGTTTATTGCCCTGCAGACTTGTACCTTGTTGTTTTTCTTTTGCAAGCTGTTGCCTTTGCGTGGCTGTGCCCTGGAGAACCCTTGAGTGTTCGTATAGTAGCAGCCTTTGCCTGCATCAGAACTTAGTGATACATAAAGTTGCATCTGACCATTGAGAAAAACAAAGCCTGTGTTAATGGATTTTTGAAAAGTTGTCATATTGGATTTGTGAGCAATGAATTTATTAAAGTTGGTGACTCATTTTTTTTTAAATTTAAGATATGAGGGCTTGGGACCTGTGGTCATTGTTTGCCCAGCAACAGTGATGCACCAGTGGGTGAAAGAATTCCACACATGGTGGCCACCATTCAGAGTGGCAGTCCTGCACGAGACAGGTTCCTTCACCAGCAGGAAGGTTGGTACCTTGAACAGCTGAGATCTTGATAACGTTTCATGCCATGCTGCAGACATTTCGAGATGTTCATGAATATAGAAAAATCATTGTCCAGTTTGATCAAAATATGAACAGAAACTGTTTTATACAAAGTGAAAGTAATTGATTTATACTAATGCATCGCATAAACTTGTTCTGACCTCAACCATTTTGATGTTAACAAATGAATTTGCAGAAATACAATATTGCAACTACTACAAGTCTTATAATTAAACAAAAAGTGTTGAAATATTCAGCAGATCAGGCTGCACTTGTCAATAAGATTTCAGGCTGACAATCCTTTGTCAAAGACCTGCAAATTTTCTTCACTTCTGAAATGATGCTAGTTGCTGAAGGTAGTTCTTTTCCACACAATTTAAACATTGTGTTCTTTCGAAAACCTACAATATATATTCTTCCATTTAATTTTTTTTAGGGAAAATTGTTTAGTCACTTTAACAATTCTACATACCTTTGTTCCTTGAGATTTGCAATTGGCTGTCTGCTTTTTACCTTTATAATGCTTCTGTATTCAGATGACAGTTTAACATAACTTTTGAACATATCGATCAGATGTTTGTTTGCAGCTTTGCATTATTTTATATTTAAGTCGTACGTGACATGGCAGCAAAATCCACAAAACCTGTGCTGCGAAAAGACAGCTTGAACATATAATTTCTTTGGAATTATTTCCATTTTGGTCTTGGTGTTAATAATGGCTTAAATACTGAAACCAGCTGTATTTCAGCGCACAGGTACAGTTCAACTTAATCATAATCCCATGAGCTCAGCTGAAGAAATCTTTAATAATTCTTGGAGTACAGTTGCTTTTGCTAGTAAAAGTTCCCTAGATTTCTGATCTAACTACATTTAAGTCTAGGTGTACTTACGGATCATCTCCCATCATCTGCCAACGCCAAAGATTTTAATGATAAATAACTAGAAAGAGGTACAGTGCTGAGAGCAGTGTGCAGATCATAAATTTTGAAGTAATCCTTGATTATAAAACCTGCTTTGCATTTTCCATTATGATGTGAAAAGCTCTGGCTTTAGGAGGTTTAATCGTGCAGAAAAAGAAACAAAGGGATGGTTTTATATTTTGCATACATTGTGAGGTTTGACAAAGACTACTTTCCTTTTTTAACTTTGGCACGAAGCTTCCTCACTCTTGCTTTTTCCCCTTGTCAGCACAAGACATTGTTTATTTAAAATTTTGCTTGAAGGAAGTTTAAATTAGTTATAGGTTCAGCAATTCATGACTGTGAACCTCCTATGCTCTGTTTGCTGTGAATGGCCTTCATATGCCTGCATTTAAGCCCTGTTTTGTTGGTACCTGACAGTGTGATTTATGACTGTTGTTTTCTAACAGTCCACTATTTGCCCTCTAGGAGAGATTGGTCTCCAGAGCATCAATAACAACAGCAGCACTTTCACAAAATGTCTTTTAATGATAGCAGAACTGTGTTCATCGAGTTAGGCTAATTGCAGACGTCCCTTATTAATTGCAAAAACTGGGAGAGGTTACATATTTTACAGGCACTTAATTTGAAATCACGAGAGATGATTTGAGTATTACAGCAGTAGATAGAAGTCTTGGTACACTTCAGAATGATTTTTGTGATCATTCTGTGCATACAAAACAGTGAGAGTTCCATGTTTGTACTTGTCATTGCAATTACAGCACATTATTTTGATATTGCAGGAGAGGCTCATTCGAGAAATCGCAGCATGTAACGGTATTCTGATCACCTCGTATTCCTACGTCCGAATTATGCAGGAGTCCATTGCATACTATGACTGGCATTATGTAATTTTGGATGAAGGGCACAAAATACGAAACCCAAATGCTGCAATTACCGTTGCATGTAAACAGGTACCCTGGTAATATTTTTCTTTATCTTTTTTATTTTCTCTTAGAATGTGGGCATCACAGCTGGGGCCAGATTTGCTAATCCTCCCCAAGTGATTCTTGTCACTTCATGTTGTTTGTCTAAAGTTTGACTGTTTCGTTAACAGAGATGTCACAATAACTCCCAAATGTTATCCCACAGGGAGGCAAAATTGTGTATGCTGTCATGAATGTGTTTGCCTTGTCTTGGACAGCTGCCACATAGTTCTTATAAAAACGTGGGGCTAGATTTGTTGATTTTGTGAGGAGGAACAAGCCTTCAGTTGACATTAAGCTGACAACAGACGAGGATTTTAATCACATTTTTAAGTAAAAAGCATTTTAAGGTGCTCTGCGAAACAGGAGAAACATGAAATAAGCAAATAACTAAATATGGATTGGATAGTGATCAGTGGTTAGAGTTTTAGAAGGGCATGACTGAACCCTTAGTCAAAAAGACGGGCCTTAAGAAAGGTTTTAAATGCGAAGTTAGAATAGAATTGGAATCTCTGGTTACTTATTTAGGGAGGACGTTCCAAGGAAAACAGCTGTGCGCAAAATATTTACGAGCAGAACTAGTTCTTTCACCACCAACCCCCAAGCATATTTCACTGTTCAATACGATCATGGTTTTCCTGTCCATTCCGCTATAGCTCTTGACTCGCTTATTGATCAAAAATGACCGAAGTCTGCCTTGAATATATTCAATGAACGCCTCCACTGATGTTTGGGGAAGAGAATTCCATGGGCTAATCTCCTGCTGAGAAAAAAAAAGTCATCTTAATCTTAAATGTCAGATTCCTAAATCAGAAACAAAAACAGAAATTGCTGGAAAAACTCAGCAGGTCTGGCAGCATCTGTGGAGAGAAATCAGAGTTAACATTTCAGGTCCAGTGACCCTTCTTCAGAACTCAGACAGGTATGACCTTATGTCAGGAAACCATGACATTTTGGAGCAGTTTGGGTAGAAGACAAGAAGTTACTTGTCAGAGTGGAATATAGGGCCCTAATGGTAATCCACTTGGTTGTATGGAATATAAAGGAACAAATAATGGCAGTTTGTCAGAAAGGAATGGTGATAATCATGGGGAACTGTAATTTGCATGTAGTCTGGAAAAATAAAATGAACAGAGGTAGTCTAGATGAAGAATTCATTGAATTTTTCCAGGATCATTTCTTACAATGGCAAGTTCTGGAGCCAACCAGAAAGCAAACTATACCACTTGTGGTACTCTGCGTTGAGATATGATTAATTAATGACCTGATAGTGAAGGCACCCCTAGATTGCAGCAATCAAACTACAATTGAATTTCACATTCAGCTTGATGAAGAGTGGATTCAAGACTGATATTTTAAACTTAAAATTAGGATAATTATCAAGGAATAAAAGCATAACTATCTAACATGAACTAGTAAACTAGGTTAAGTTGAGGTGCAGTGACAAACATGTGAGGGGATATTTCAGAATACGCAGAATAGATGCAATCCAACAAGAAAAAAAAATTCCAAAGGCAGGATTCACCATTCTTAATTGACTTAAAGATAGCATTAAACTTAAAGAAAAAATATATAATTATGTAAAGAAGATTGGACAGAATATTTTGAAAAGAACAAAGAACGGACTAAAAGATTAATAAGGAGGGCACAATTAGTGTTCAAGAGAAAGCTAGCTACAAATATGAAAACAAATATAGGAGTTTCTATAGATATTCAAAAGGGAGGAATTAACAAAGTCTACATTGATCCTATAAAAAGTGAGTTTGTGGAATCAATAATGGAAAATAAGGAGATGACAGACGAATTCAATATGTATTTTGAATGATCTTCCTTATATGGGATACTAGTAACATCCCAAAGATAGCTGTATATCAGGAGATAGAAGGGAGGGAGCAACTCATGAAAATTACAATCCCCAGGGAAGAGGTACTGGAAAAATTAGTGGAGCTGCAGGCTGACAAGTCTCTGGGTCTTGATGGACTTGTCCCCAGTTCATAAGGGAAGTGGCTAATGAGATAGTTGATGCATTAGTTTTAATTTTCCAAAATAGCCTAGATTCGGGGAATGCTCAATTACAAAGTAAAGCAACTAATAAAATTAATTTATTCAGAAAAGGAAGGAGACAGAAAGCAAGAAACTACAGGCCACTTAGCTTAACATTTATCATAGAGAAGCTGTCACTAAAGATTCTAAAGATATTCATGGTATTCAGGCAGAGTTAACATGCTTTTGTAAAAGAGAAACTATGTTTAACCAATTTATTTGAGTTCTTTGAAGAAGCAGCATGTGCTGTGGATAAAGGGAATGTACTGTATTTAGATTTCCAGGAGGCATTTATAAGATACCAGATCAAAGGTTATTGCAAAAACTAAAATGTCGTGGTGTAGAGAATGACATATTGGCATGGTTAGAAGATTAGCTAGCTAACAGTAAACAGTAGGCACAAAAGTGAGTCTTTTTTTTGTTAGCAAAATGTATCGAGGAATGTATCACAGGGATCATTGTTGGGATTTCAATATTTTGCAATTTATAGGAATGATTTGGACGAAAGAACCAAAGGGATGTTTGCTAAATTTATGTCATAATAGGTAATAAGTTACAAATAGGACATAAGGAGCCTACAAACGGATGACAGAGACCAAGGGGTGCAGTTACATAGTTCCTTGAAAGTGGCATCACAGGTTAACAGGGTACTGAAGAAGGCGTTTAGCACACTTGCCTTCATCTGCCAGAGCATTGAGTACAAGAGTCGGGACATCATGTTACAGTCTACAAGATCACATTTGGAGTACTGCATACAACTCTGGTCACCTTGCTAATGGGGAGGATGTTATCACACTGGAAAGGGTGCAAAAAAGCTTTATGAGGAGATTACTGAGACTAGATGGTTTGAGTTATAAGGAGGGGTTGGATAGGCTGGGACTTTTTTTCCTTGGAGTGTAGGAGGCTGAAGGGGGTGACCTTATCGAGGTTTATAAAATCATGAGGGGCATAGATAAGGTGAATGGCCAAGGTCTTTACCCCAGGGTATGGAAGTCCAAAACTAGAGGACATAGGGTTAAGGTCAGAGAGGAAAGATTTAAGAGGGATGTGAGGGGCAACTTTTTCACACACAGGGTGGTTCGTACATGGAATGAGCTGTCAGAGGAAGTGGTAGAGGCAAATACAATTACAACATTTAAAAGACATTTGGACAAGTACATGGATAGGAAATGTTTAGATTGATGGGCCAAATGCAGGCAATTGGGACTAATTCAGTTTAGGAAACCTGTTTGGCATGGACGAGTTGACTCAAAGCATCCATTTCCTTGCTTCATGATTATGTAATAGACTGCAAAGAACTAACAAAAGGAATATAATGTGGCAATATGTAAAATTGCCCATTTTTAGTAACAAAAATAAAAAAGAAGCCAATTATCAAAATGGTGAGGGATTGCAGAGCTGTGAGATGCAGAAGGATCCAGGTGTTCTGAATCACAAAAGGTTAGCATACCAGTACAGCAAGCAATTAGGAAAGCTAACGGAATGTTATTGTTTATCACAAGGGGAATTAAACACAAACATAGGGAGGTTATTCTTCAGGTGAGACCACATCTGGAATATCGTATACAGTATTGACACCTTATTTAAGGTAGGATATAAATGCATTGGAAGCAGTTCGGAGAAGGTTTACTAGGTTCATATATAAAATGGGTGGGTTGCCATATGTTATGCTTGTATCCGCTGGGAGTTTAGAAGAGTAAGAGGTGGCTTGATTAAATATGTAAGATCCTGAGGGATGTGGAAGTGATGTTCAGTCTGATGGGAGAATCTAGAGCCTTTGAAGCCTCCTTGTGTCCTCTTCACAACTTGCTTAACTATCTATCTTTGTGTCGCCAGCAAATTTAAAAATCATTCCTTTGGTGGTGCGATTCATTTAATTTTTTATTTAACCTATTTTTCTAATCAACCTGTTCAGAGATGTTATTACACATCTTTGGAACAGATGGGACTTGAAACCAGGCCTTCTGGTCCAAGGGTTAGGACATTACCACTGTGCCACATTTAAGTCATTGATTGCAAATGGACAAATCTTATTACATACCATTATTTGAACTATCTCTGCTGATGTATTTCGTTCTTAAAAGTATCTTTGTGAACTTAATTTTAGACTGCTTTATTGAATCATAAGAGCTTTTAATGTGGATAAATATTTAAAGAGATTTATTTAATATGGGTTTTACTGTGATCTTGCACTTAAGCAAGTACTATGCATTAACAGCACCAAGAGTAGCAAAAATTAAAATGTTGCAGTCACGGTATTTTTATATCACGGTGTTATAAATTTTATTATTTGATTGAGAGCTTTAAGCACAATAAGTTCCTTTTGAAAAGAAAAATATCAATTGTGTTGGGTTGACATACCTCTTTGGGAACTAGTTTTAATATTATGATTAAGACCACGCAAAGAATCAGACCAGGAGCTAACAAAACCACCACTGGAGCCTTCTCTGTCTTTAAATGAGATCATGGCTGAATATCTACATTGACTTCACTTGTTCGCATATCCTTTAATTCCGTTGGGACCAAGCTGAAGCGAATGTGTATTTTTATTTTTCTTTTGTTTTTTTTCTTTGTATGCATTACACAGTGGGGTTGTGGATATCCACGCCAATCTGTATTGCAAAACTTGAAGTATTCAAATACTGTGGACTGAAGAAACTTTGAATGCTTTAAAAAAAGTGTGTCAGGGTTGGGATTAGATAACAATAGTACTTATACTTAGAAAAATGACAACTTGCATTTTCGTAGTATCCTTATCATAAAAAGATGCCCAAAGAGTTCACTGAAGGCAACACATGACAAAAATAAATGCTCAACTAAAGAAAGAGAAATTAAAAAGAATTATTGAATGATTAAGAAATAGGAGCAAGAATCGGCCACTTAACCCCTTGAGGCTGCTCTGCCAGCCAGTAAAATGACAACTGATCTGATCTTTACCCCACTCCAGTTTCCTGTCTGTTCCCCATAAGGTGAGTTTTAAGAAAGCCTTAAAGAAGATAGTGGGAAGTGTAGAAGCAGAGGGTTTTAGACTGAGCATTCCCGAACGTGAGAACAAGAAGGCTGAAGGCACAATCGTGAATGAGGTATGTACGTACTGTTTAAATAGCAGTTCTATTCTTGAAGACTTTTTAGAAAAACGTTGCAGTTTCATAAATGATTTTTATAATTCTCTTTGCAGTTTCGCACTCCCCATCGCATTATCCTGTCTGGTTCACCGATGCAGAATAACTTGAAGGAGCTCTGGTCTTTATTTGACTTTGTTTTTCCAGGAAAGCTAGGAACATTGCAAGTCTTCATGGAACAATTTTCTGTCCCTATCACAATGGGAGGCTATCAAAATGCCTCACCTGTTCAGGTATGTGAAAGAGAACATAATGCTTTCTGTACAATATAATAAATAAAAAGAGTAGAATGAGTTCATGGTTTCTGGATTTGAGATGCTGGCATTCTTGCTATATTGTAACATTTTCTGCTTTAGATTTCCAATATTCACACTTTGAATCATGACATTATTAATGGAACAAAAGAGGTTGGTAGAAGTAGAAAAATACACGTAAAAGAGAAAGTTGAAATTTGGAAAAAGCAAGGATAGAAAATACAAGAGGGAAGATGGTAAGATTGATAGATGGATTACCTTTATTGCCTCACAACAGTGCTGGTGGTTCATGGCTGCTAAAAGTGTCTCCATTCTGAAATGCTGAGTGTACATATTTTCTTTCCGTTACAGTTGGTAATAAAATACTGTTGTTCAGGGTGGGGAACCTTTTCTTTTAACCTTTTAATGTTTTCATTATTTTAACTTAGTTGGGTTTTTTTTTGATATGTGAATTGAAACATCTAATCAATAAATTATCATGTATTCTACTACTTGCCCTTTTTGTACAACTGATCTGAACTGTGCCATATGTTCTTTAAACTAAAAAGAACCTTCTGTTTGTGTGATACTCTTCATTCTTCCTTAAGCCTACTTACACAGTGGCAAGTGGGCACTAATCATTTGGTAGTGCGTAGCATCTTTCAGGCTTCCTGCAGGTTTCCTTTTGATCCTCAGACCACTCAGATTAATGATAAATGGAATTTTGGCTGATATAGGATTAGACACAGAGATGACGTACCATGATGAAAGGGCCATTTCCCTGAGGGTAAGACTTGCACAGCCAATAAAACTTCCATTTTGTGTCCTCCTGAGAGCTCTGAACTATACTGTTGTGTCTAAGCCATTATACATAGAGCCAAACATTAGTACAATGGAGCACTGGTATCATTAAGAATTAAACATTAAAGCCACATTTGCCACTAGAAGTATCAGAATTGCTTGAAGACAATTGTAGTTAATAGTAATATTGCAATATTAACTACGTGGCTTGCATTTTTTTGTCTGTTTAGTTTGGTGAAATAAACATACAGGATACCAAATTAACACTATATTTGTTATGGTGCCCAATAAAATATCTTCATAATCTGTTTTTAAAATGAATTTACCAATATATTAATTCTAAGGACTCTGTTAAGTAGTGAGTTAGCATTTGTCAAAGCACATTTTTCTTTAACTGCTCTGTATAAATGTGTCCCTGCTGATTTGTTATTATTGCAACCTGCATGTGTATCCTTCTCAAAGTTATTTTAAAAATGTTCTCAGGTGCAAACTGCCTATAAGTGTGCTTGTGTTTTACGGGACACCATAAACCCGTACTTGCTGCGACGAATAAAAGCAGATGTAAAAATGAATCTGGCATTGCCAGACAAGAATGAACAGGTGGGTAAAACTCGGGGTATTTTTTTGAAGGCTTAAAGTAAATTTCTGCATGTATTACAGTTATTGTAGCATAATGAGACCATTCTACATTCCTACCCCATTGTCTGGAACCAGAAATTTCCGGCTCTTTGCAGGGGTTCTGGCCAATTATTGCGCCAGTTATTGCATTATTTCAGATTATTTGATAGCACAGTACATGGAATACACATGGGATCTTGCTGATTCATTAAGACTCACTGCCACAAATTATGAATGCAATTACCCACTGAGTTATTGATATTTCAGAATTAATAAGTTGATTATTTTTGCATCACTTATGGGGATATAGTATTAATTGTACACTACCTTAATTTTAAAGTTAGCTGCTAATCCAATTTGAAAGAGCTGTTGTTCACAGTGTAACAAGAGTCCCAGATGATAGCTGGTTTACTTAAAAAAACTGATGAACAAAATATTTAGGAGGAATGACCTCCAGAACTTCATTGGGTCCTTCTCTCCCTTGGCTTGGTGTGACAGTAGTTACATTAAATATTTAAATGCCATCATGAAGCACAGCAGGGGAAATGAATGCAAAATAACAAAAGATTTCAGTCCTACTACAAAAATAGAAGCACTTCACATCTGTGAACACAGATGCTGATTGTGTTTTAAAATTGTGCCGTGTGAATTTTTAATTGTCTGTATGTGTTATAGCTGAATTAGAGAGGCAGTGCGTTGTTTTAATCTTATCCCAATAACACAATGGCCCTTTTTTTTGTAATTGTGAATTCCTCTTTAATTAGCAGCCCTCTTGTAGTATAGATTCCACAATTGTGCACACACGAATAATAAACATAAAACTAGTCTAATCTTTTTTTTGTGGATGTGTTTCTTTAAGAATTCATGGTAATGTATTCCAACAAAGTTGTCGCAAAGAGCAACTAGTGATTAGTGTAAAAGCAGAAGCTAAAGACCAAACTAATCACAAAGTGGAATATTCATAAATAATGCACAACATTCAGTAATGTTGCATTATACTGTAGATATAACATTCATCATCACTTCATAAAAGGATATAAATATTTCCTGAAGATCGTTGTGTATTCTTGTTCAGCTCGTAATCTGAAGAATGTGAGTTCAAATCCCACCGTGGAAGTAATAAAATAATTTAAATGAGCTGGTTTCAGTGAAATTGTGTATCATTGTTAAAAAAATCTAACTGGGTCATTAACGTCCTGTAAAGGACCTGCCAACTTGATTGACTCTTAACTTTCATCTTAATTTGCCTAGCAAGTCTTATTACCACCTTCTACTGGCAATAATGTTGGCCGAGTCAGCAATGCTGACATCACAAGGATAAATAACAAAAGTGGTGGGGCCAGAGTCCAAGTATATTACCAGCAACAGTGAGAATTTTATCTTGCAGTTGACAATGTTCTTTGAAACCCCAATGGAGGAATGCACTGTTTTAAAAATACACCAAAACTCAATGCAGAATGCTTTTCATTTGGTGGCAGTGCAGCACTTTCTGTATTTTCACACTCTTCTGTATAGACAGTGGAAGGTTCCATCTTTTTGTTGGTTTTGCACTCAAGTAAGCCTAGCCCCGGAGAGGGCTTGGGGCAGAACATAAAACATTAATATTTTAAAGAATGAATGCGGGGACATCTGTTACACTTCATATTGCAAACTGCAGTTTTCTAAAAGCTGAAACTCCAGGAGATTTGTTTTGTGCACATAAAGCTTCATGAGCAATACCCTGTGATCCCACAAGATTGTTGGCAGGTGTACGGATTACAAACTGAGTAAATCAGCCCTAACATGTCTTGTTTTAGTTTTGGAAGATGATTCACCATGCGACTGAAAGGATTGCCCTTTTGGTGAATCCACTGAATTTTCAGCGTCTACAGGTTAATATTCTATTGATTGGCCAATGGGTCAGCTTTTAGCGCAAATGCTTGCAGCATGCGACTGATCCCTCTGAGGTGCCTTGAATGGTCTTAATCTGTGCATCTAGATAGAGGTGTTCAGCCCAATTGAACTAAGAAAATTTCCTCGGGGTTTGAATCCCATTTTGCCCCATCTCTGTCCTTGGTCTATTGTTAGAACATTTCAGGAGATATTATATACCTGTGGTCACTGCATTTTGGATTTACGATAGAATTTATGATGCACATCAGTTGAATTCACATCACTGCTTTGCTCTTGGGTTTTCCTTCTGATTTTTGGTTAGTTCATCACCTGAAAGGTTACAGTCACATATTTTGGTGAGGTGGAATTGAGATTACAGTTACCACACCCAAAATGAGATCATGCCTACTGCATGCTATTTTTAATGAAATGTTAGTATTTTGTTCATGCCTAACTGAAGAAGGGAATAATGTAGTGATGCCATTACAATTGTTGCCAGTATGCTGCCTGCTATTTTGCTTTTGTGTAAGTGTAGTCTCAGAAAAAAATAAACACTCTAGGTGCGCAAGAGACAGCAAATCAAAAAGAGAAATATCCACTGTAAAATATGTTAGTTACACACTCTTTTGAATCTTGTCAGACAGTGAAAGATGCATTCCAATTGCTGAATGTGATCTTAATGGTTTGGTTTTAAGTTGCCTGATCAGTAGGACATTTCTGGGTATATTTGAAAGGTGTGGGTCATCACAGTAGGTTTTTTATTGAGAATATAGAAGTTCTCATTGTTGCACTTAGTTCTGAATTTGTGTTGCTTACTTTTTAATTGTTCTTGAATGTGTTAATTTGCAACTGTTGTTAATATTCTATTAAGTTTTGAACTGAGCATATTTCCTGTTTTCATTGCATCTATTACATGAGGAATTTAAAGTCACAGTATTATCCAAATGAGCAGTAAAGAAACCTGTAACTGACTCTGAAACTCTTTTTCTGTAGGTTCTGTTTTGTCGTTTAACAGAGGAACAACGTGAAGTCTACCAAAACTTTATTGATTCCAAGGAAGTCTATCAGATTCTCAACAGAGAAATGCAGGTCTGTTATTGCTATTATTGGATATTCAACAAGGAAGCTTGCTCCTTCTTTAAGAAGGGGACTGTTAAGAATAGTGAGCTGCTGCTTTTGTCTATTGGAGCAATGAAAGGCTCTTCCTTAACATTAATATGAATCAATGAGTGCTTACAGAGGATAACAAATGGAGCTTCAAGTGTTTGATAAATAATTAAAGTATTCCATTCAGTGCTGTGACGTAGAAGCTGCTTATTATCAGTACTTGACACATGTGTAGTCTAAACACACTGCATGCACTGTTGTGTATAGAGGTCTCTTGCGCACAATTCTTAGAGAAACATTCATGTTTGGATAGCAAACAGTCAAGACGTTGATTGTTCTCTTTTTCTTCCTCTCTCTCTTCCCCACCCCCACCAACCCACAAAAATATAGGTATTCTCTGGCCTGATAGCTCTCAGAAAGATCTGTAATCACCCAGACCTGTTTTCTGGTGGCCCCAAGATCCTGAAGGGGGTGCCTGATGAGCAGCTGACAGAGGAAGAGCACTTTGGGTATTGGAAGCGATCTGGAAAGATGATTGTAGTCAATGCTTTGCTAAAGCTGTGGTACAAACAAGGACATCGAGTACTTCTTTTCTCTCAATCCCGACAGGTCAGCACACCTAGCAGAGATAAAAAGCACATTTTGACTATTTAATAATGCAGCATAAACTAGCTTATTAACACTTCTTCACTCCCTCACAAAAACAAGATGTCAGGTGTTTATTATTATTGTTTTGATCTTATTTTAAAATCCAAACCTACTCCATGTTTGTTTCACACTAGTTTTGGTTGAATTTAATTATTGCACCTCCACCTTTGGTGCTACTGTGTTTCTGTGCAAACTACACCTTTTACAGATATTTTAAAATCATCTAGTTTCAATTCCTGTGCCAGATTTTAATGTATATTAAGTATTAGCCAAGAAATCTTTCACTTATAACAGGATAAGAGTTGGCAGAATGCCAAGTTATATCGCTTAAAATGAGTTTTGGCACATTTTCAACTCCGATTTAATTGATCAATATTCAGATTCTTGTCATTTCATTTGGGTTTAGAACAAAAACAAGTTTAAGATTAAAATCCATTTTGTTGTAAATTTACCACCTGTCATTAGAATATACTGTCAAATCTGTATCCCTGTTACAAATAATGTTTTTTTATTTTGCTGTTAATATGTATTTAGAGCAGGTTCTAAATTAAAAATGTGTGTAGTGCTAATTTCTAATTTGTTTCTAGATAAACATATCTTTTTTCTCCTATTTGCTAGATGTTGGACATCTTGGAGGTGTTTATACGAAATCTAGACTATTCATACCTTAAAATGGATGGAACAACTACAGTAGGGTCTAGACAGACACTCATTTCTAGATACAATGAGGTAAAAACTTCAAAAAGTTGTTCATGCCTATTTCTGTGCTGCATTTTGCTCTTTTATTAATGCTTGCCAAGTTTACATTTGATTATTCGATTAACAAACATGCTTTTCTTGAAAAAAGTCTTTTTTCAGAAAAACAAAAATCTGTTCTTCTATTGTAGGATTCCTCTATATTTGTCTTCCTCCTCACAACTAGAGTTGGTGGTTTAGGAGTTAACTTGACAGGAGCAAACCGAGTTATTATCTACGACCCTGACTGGAACCCGAGTACTGACACACAGGTGGGCCCTTTTCAGTTTGTGTCAATGCAAACAGCATTGGATTGTTTCATCTCTCATCTGCACTCAACTCGATGCCACAAACATGCATGTGCATTTAGAACAGTTATTAAGCAATTATGTATATTTGTAAATGTGAACTGAGTGTGTTACATTGGGAGCAGCTAAAATCTGCAATTTGTGCATTTTATTACCTCATGCTGTGGTAGTGTTGCTGTTTTCAATTGTTCTGGTTGGGACAGAGAATGTGATGGATTTCATGCCTGAGAAAGAACAGTACATATTGAAATAATCTGAATTGCTTTGAAATGTCTGACCCTGTGCTGACACTGAACAGCTTACTTTGCACAGTTGTTAAGAGTATTCTGAAATAAAATGTTGCCCACAAGTTTGAACGATTCACATGTGGTTGGGTGTATGCAGTATAGTTGTTCAGCTGTCAGCAATTAGACTGAGTATAAAGCTTGGAGAAAACTTAATTAAAAACTGCTGGAATTCTAGCAATATGACTGCTTTGTGCAGGTGGGGCTGTAACAAATTTTTGCTAAACTGTAACGTGACTAAACCTTTGCCCTACTTGTAGAATATTTCCCTGCAATAAAGGATCATCGTTTCAGCAATAAAAAAATAACTTGGAACTGCAACAGTTTAAAGAAATTAATTGTGCATGAACTTTTCATGTTTGACATTCGATTATGAAGTGCTCTGCCGTGTGGTGGGGAAGCCGCTGGATACTAATCACTAAATGCGCATTCTTTTAGGCCCGAGAGCGTGCCTGGAGGATAGGCCAAAAGAAACAGGTTACTATTTACAGGTTACTAACAGCCGGGTCAATTGAAGAAAAAATCTACCACAGGTATGTCTCAAAATTGGGAATGCCCTGTCACATTAAACTTTGTAAATTGTCGGTTGTTTTTGCCAACAATGTACGTGAGCTGAAGATTCATTTGGTTTTATTCTTAATGGTTTAGCAAGCAGAAACATTTTAATTTCACACTGGTTGACCACTAAGACTCTTAATTCCCCCTCCCCCAAGTTATTTTCAGTTAATAGTACAATTATATTTTTGTGTGTTCATCCAAGTAAATTTAAAAGGGGAACATGAATAAACACTGGAAATGTTCAGCAAAAAAAAATCAATATCTGAAAGGGAAAGACCAGTTAATATTTTGTTTAGAAATCCTACAAATAATCCTAAAACAGGCTCTTTGGCTGGGTATTGAAACTATTGACCTTTCAGGGACCCTGTATTGGATTATGAGGAATGCCTGGATCCAGCCTCAGAAAAACATTCCATATTATGCCAGTGATAGGTTTTCATATCCTATATCAGCTATGCACTAGCATTTTTGAGTGACATCTCTTAATGCTTAAATAGGAATGGTTTTGAATTGTAGGTCTCTGCTCACTAGCAACTCAATTAAGTCAGGTTTACACATTTATCTCATCACCTTTTTAAAAGAAGAATGGCAAAAGAATATTTCATTAATTAATCCAAACTTTATTTGAATCCAGGTCCTAGTGAAAGGCCATTATTTTTACTCACTGCATCTGCTATTCCCCCTTTCACTAGAAGTTTGGATTGAGGATCGCATTTGAAGCATCAGCCTCTACTTCTCTTTCACATGTCGGCTGTTCGCATCCAATACTTCTGGCTTCCTGCAGTCATCCTTCATTGTTTGCACTGTGCAGTTTGGTTTCCTTCATGTAAATAAGCCAACGTTGCAACTAAGTGCAGAAGACGTCTGCTGAGAAAATTAATGAAAAATAAACGATTCAGTAACACTTGACCAAAAATGACGATGGTGTGATTACAGCATTTGTTTTCACATGGCTCACTGCGAACAGGTTTATCTTATTTGCAGTATGTTCTTTAATGGAGGTGCTAGTTCTCACACTAAATAATGGGGGAACTGAACACTTGCTGGCACACCACTTACCTCCCCGTACTGACTAAATATGATTTAAAGTGTGATTTTAGTAGAAGAGGCCTTGTTAAATTAGTGGTCAGCAGCGGTTTTTGTGAGCACCGTGGGAAAATTGAGACTTCTTGGTTTCTGCATGTAATTATTTAGTAATATTTTACATATTTAACCATTTTTTTCTCAGATTAATATGAGCGTTGGGAGATAAAACAGATTTAAAGTACAATAAATTCATAATAGTGAAAGGTTCATGAACGCAAAAAGGTTATATGATTACATTTAAAATGCAAGTTTGTTCTAGAGCTATATAGTTCCTATGAAAACTGCTAACTAAGGTGGCATGTAATTTAATTTTTTATTACTAACTTAATTATAGGAAGTTGTAAATCATTTTATATGTGGTTTCTTTAGATGAATTATGTAATTTTCACTTTATTATAGGCAAATTTTCAAGCAGTTCCTGACTAATCGAGTATTGAAGGACCCAAAGCAGAGACGGTTTTTCAAATCTAATGATCTTGTAGAGCTTTTCACATTAAGCAGTCCAGATGGTACTCAGGGAACAGAAACAAGTGCAATTTTTGCAGGTAGTATCAATTTAAAATTAACAAACAGAATCCAGTGGTTAATGCAGTAAAGTGCCAGGATTGTAATTCACCAATTTTGCAATCCCAGTTTTACTTCTTTAGAGAAATGTGCTTGGTGAATTTCTGTATACAGTTAATCAAAGATTTAAAAGTGTCTTTCATAACCTCAGATTGTCCAAAAGCATCTAATATAGTACTTAGAAGTGCAGTCAGTATTGTAATGTCAGAAGCATGCTTATTTATCTGCATATAATAATCTTCCACTAAACAACGTGATAATGGCCAGATAAGTTGCTTTTAGGTGCTTCCCTACTCCTGTTGAAGTTGTGCTATAGTATCTTTTAAGTCCACTTGAAAAGACAGATGGTTTAAATTGCTATCTGCAATATAGCACATCCAACAGTGCGGCAGTTCCTCAAGACTGCATTTCAGTGACAGCCTGTACTTTTGTGCTCGACTTTCTGGAGCGAGACCATAACCTTCCAACTCACAGGTGATATTGCTACTGGCAGGATAGGTTGACTTTATTCATTTGTTCTACCAGTTGGTGGTTCATCAACCAAATCAACATGTTTGGTGGGAGTGTTGGCGAATAATTGAAGGGACCTAAGCAACCTGATTGTTAAGAAAACAGGGTGGCCGCAGCTTCCAGTTTCAAATGATAGAAATTATTGGAAGGATTTTCGTAGGTTTGCTCAGAAAGTTTGTAATTTTGTTGTCCCATCATGGACTGAGAATATCCCAAAGTATTTTGCATCAAGTGAATAATACTGAAATACAATCATTCCTGTGCAAAATCCAAGTATTGTAATTATTTTGTTTAATACTCTCTACATTAATTGCAGTGAATGTGTTTGTTCCTCGTTAGGCACAGGTTCAGATGTTTACGCACCTACCAGAAGAAAAGCTGGGAAAATCTCCGGTTCATTCAGGAAGACAAATGACTCGCCACCAGATCAAGATTCCAGCAAGCAAGTCAAGTTACCACCTGATTTGTCTCTCCAGTGCCGTTTAGACAAAAGTCAGTCAGGAAAACTTTCTATTAACCCACAAAATGAAATAAAAGCAAACACTGTTTTTGGCATTGGTGAAACTGTCACTGAGGTAAAGCAGGAAATAAAAAGTGCTGAATTTCCAACTGTTTCAGAGTCTGAATATGAAAGGCTTGATCAACCAACCAATTCTGCACGTAAGGAAACTGACAACAATAATGCAGAATCTACACTCAACAATAAAGCTGGACTACTTGATCATGACCACAAACAAGGACCAATCATTCTGGACGAGGACAGGAAAGACTGCACTCTGAACGCAGAAAAACTGCAAAATACAAGTGGTGCTGCCTTAGGAGAAACTAGTAACAGCAATAAACTTCATCATAAACACCAGTCTAAAACAAAACATCAAAAAACTGAGGGTGAGCATGATGATGCTCTTTCAGTGTATAAGCAAAAACACAGAAAACACAAACGCCATAAAGATGCATATTTTGAAGGTGAACGTATTCCCCACTTGGTTAAAAGGAAGAAACTCAAAAAGAGAGACCATGAGGAAGAGCAAAAAGAAAAGGAAGTCTGCAGGCAGAGTGATGATTATGTATTGGAAAAGCTCTTCAAAAAATCTGGTGAATTTACTCATATTTATTGTGCTTCTATTTATCTTTAAGCTGCAAGACAATTTTTCATTTTCGAAAAAAAAGAATTCCGTTCTGATAGTAAGATTTTTATTCCATGGTAGTATTTAATCAAGTGTTCAAACGGTAGCTTTGGTATGCTCACTGCTCGATACATAATTATGCTACTTAGCACTTCTTTGGGTAAATTTTACAAATTTAGTTAAGCAGGAGGGCAAATTATTAGTGAATTGATCTGAAATCTAAAAGATTTGTTTAATTATTCCATCTTTTTTTTATTACTGCACCATTAAGTTTCATTTATTAAAAGTTGGTTATGGGAAAACCCAAAAAATCACATTAGCAAGACGCAATCCAGGTTAATTCAGTGCACGAATGCTGTGAAGTTGGTATTGTTGTGTAAATGACGGTGTTAATCTGGTGCTATTTTCTAATTTCTAAAGGAATCCACAGTGTGATGAAGCATGATGTTATTATGGAGTCATCCAACCCTGATTATGTATTAGTTGAAGCAGAAGCTAATCGAGTTGCTCAGGAGGCTTTGAAAGCACTGAAGGCCTCGAGACAGCGTTGCCTGGGTGTCTCTTCTGATGTGCCATCCAGGATAAATAGCAGTCAGCTGTCAGGGACAACTGCTGCTATAAAGTAAGATATTAGCCGGAGCATTATTTTTGCAAAGGATGTTTTAATTTACTTTTTGCTTTAGTTTAAATTTTAAAAAAGATGTGGTGATGGTGGGTCATCTTGAAATCTGTTTACTATTACTCAGTGATTTCTTAGGCTACATAAGAGGGTAGCCCATTCGTGTGGATCTGTAGTCACATGCAGGCCTGATAGAGTAAGAATGGCAGATTTCCTTAACTAAAAGTGGTTAGTGAACCCATTGTGTTTCCTTGGTAATTTGTGTAACGGTGCAGTAAAAGGTTTGAAAGGGACCTAAAGGACAACTTTTTCATGTAGAGGGTGGTGTGTGTATGGAATGAGCTGTCAGAGGAAGTGAGGGAGGCTGATACAGCTGCAACATTTAAAAGGTATCTGGATGGGTACATGAATGGGAAGGGTTTAGAGGGACAATGCTGACAAATTGGACTACATTATTTTAGGATATCTGGTCAGCATGAATGAGTTGGACCAAAGGGTTTGTATCCATGCTGTAAAACTCTATGACTCTAACTGCACACTTGCCAATATATATTGACTTTTCTGTTCAGGATAAATCAAGAGGGGACCAGCCAAAATTCTAACAAGCATCATGGGTAAAATGACACATTGAGAAATCAATTTTATTGTGGTGTATAACATTTTGAGTCAAGGTCCCTAATCTATGAGTGTCTTCAGCACCATCACTGGGAACTATCCTTTAAAGTCCTGGAGTGACTTCCATTGTAAACTGTTAGAGTCATGATGTCACACCCACCTGTCAGGCACTGTGAAGTCACCTGACCAAGGAAACTGACATTTGGAAAATTTATTTCTAGAATAGAGTTTCCTGGGAAGAGACACTAGCTGAGCATCAGTTGGGTTTGATTGATATCACCCTGGCAAAAATTAAATTAAATTAAACCCTGTTGTATGGAATTAACAAGTATGTATTGGATGAGTAAAGGCAAGGTATTGCGGATGCTGGAGATCTGGATTAAAGGTCGAAAGTACTGGGAAACTCAACAGGTAGGCAGCATCTTTAGAGAGAGAAACAGAGTTAATGTTTTGGGTTCAATGTGACTCTTCTCTTCAGAACCAAACTCAATATAGTAACTGTTTCTTTCTCCATAGATGCTCCCAGACCTGCTGAGTTTCTACAGCACTGTCAGTGTGTATTTGATGAGGTTTGGTTTCCAAATTGGTTGAGTTTTACTCATAAATTTACAGGTCTCTTGATTATCTGTTTCCTTGTTATCCATTGATTATTTTCTAATGTAATTTTAATACCAGTTTCATTAAGAAGAGTGGACTTAGGGAATTTTAAGGATAGTACATGTGCATGTAAACAGCATTCTTATGAACTGAAAATGTAATATCATGCATTCAAAGTGAAATTAGTAACAAATTGTGAGCATAATGCAAGACACAATTTTGAAAAATGTACAGGAAATTTCAAAAGCTATTCCATTTTCTCATGTCTTAGGCAAAGATTTGGTCAGAAGAAAAACCCACTGCTTCCAACTAGCAGCTCTTCTTCCAAATGCACTCCAGAAAAATGCAAGGTATGTTTAATGTGATTTTCACTAATTCTAGTCATGAGGAATGATAGAATGTGCTCAGTTTATTGCTGGGCAGTTTATTAATTGAGGATTGAGGTCATGTGAAACTCAAGTAACATATAGCAATCACTTTAACGAGTGTTCATTGTGCCACAATGAAATTGTTGTTAGGACATGAATAGCCAGCCTATCTACTAATGAGTGTAACCACATATTCGTGGATTTTATAGACATTGGGTCCATAGCAAAACAAAATGAATTTATTCAAATTGTAATTAGTCACAAAGAGAAAGGAGGCATACATAAGGTTTAATTCTATTCTAGAAATAAATTTTCCAAATGTCAGTTTCCTTGGTCAGGTGACTTTACAGTGCCTGACAGGTGGGTATGACATCGTGACTCTAACAGCTTACAATGGAAGTCACTCCAGGACTTTAAAGGATAGTTTCCAGTGATGTGCTGAAGACACTGTGAAGACAAACAGAGCCCTTGAAGAATATAAAGAAAGCAGGAACGAACTTAAACAAGGAGTTGGGAGGACTAAAGGTGCCATGAAATGTCCTTGGCAAATAGGCTTAAAGAAAATCCCAAGTGTTTTATACATCTATAAGGAGCAAGAGGATAGCTAGGGAAAAGATAGGTACACTCAAGATCAAAGGATGGAATTTACGCAAGGAGCTGGAGGAAGTGAGTGAGGTCTCTTAATGAATACTTTGCATCAGTATTCACAAAGGAGAAGGACATGTTGGATGGTGAATCTAGAGAGGGATATTCTACAGGGTGTCAAAATAAAAAAGGAGGTGGTATTAGGTGTTTTGAAAAGCATTAGGTAGACAAGTCCCCAGGACCTTTTGGGATCTATCCTAGAATACTGAGGAAGGCAAGGGAGAAAATAGCTGGGGTCTTGTTAAAATCTTTGTATCCTCTTTAGACACAGGGAAGTCCCAGAGGACTAGAGAATAGCTAATGTTCTTCCTTTGTTTAAGAAGGGAAACCAGAATAATATAAGAAATTACAGGCTGGTGAGCCTTATGTCAGTGGTAGGGAAATTATTGGACAAGATTTTTAGGGATAGCATTACTCGCATTTGGAAAAACATGGACTTAGTAGCAACATGAAGCAAGGCTTTATGTGGGGAGGTTGTGTCTCACAAACTTGATTGAGTTTTTTGAGGAAGTGACAAAAATAATTGAGGGCAGGGTGGTGGGTGTTGTCTACTTAGACTTTAGCAGGGCCTTTGACAAGGTCCCTCATGGCAGGCTGATACAGATGAAGTCACATGGGATCTACATTGAGCTGGTAAGATGGACACAGAACTGGATTGGTCACAGAAGATAGCAGAGGCAAAGTATTTTTCTGACTGGAGATCTGTGATCACTGGTGTCCTGCAGGGATTAGTGCTGGAACCTGTGTTGTCTGTAACATACATAAATGATTTGGAGGAGAATTTAGGTGGCCTGATCAGTAAGTTTGCAGATGACACAAAGATTGGGGGAGCTGCAGACAGTGAAGAGGATTGCCAGAGGATATAGCAGGATGTAGACAAACTGGAATCTTGGGTGGAGAAATGGCAGATGGAATTTAACCTGAACATATGCAAGGTGATGCATTTTGGAAGGTCTAATGCAGAACAGAAGTATAAAGTAAATGGCAAAACCCTTAGAATCATTAACATACAGAGGGATCTAAGCATATAGGTCCACAGTTCCCTGAAAGTGGCAAGTGGATAAGTGGTCAAGAAGGCAAATGGCATGCTTGCCTTCATCAGTCGGGAGGAAGCGTATAAAGATTGGCAAATCATGTTGCAGCCACATAGAACTTTAGTTAGGCCATATTTGAAATATTGCATACAGTTCCGATTGCCACACTCCCAGAAGTCTGTGAAGGCTTTGGAGAGGAAACAGAAAAGGTTTAACAGGATGTTGCCTGGTCTGGAGGGTATTAGCAATGAGGAGAGATTGGACAAACTTGGTTTGTTTTCACTTGAACGCTGAAGGCTGAGGGGTGACCTGATAGAAGTTTACAAAATTGAGAGGCATGGATAGAATGGATAATCAGAATCTTTTTTCCCAGGGTAGAGATATCAGTTACTCGGGGACATAGGTTTAAGGTAAAAGGAGAAAAGCGGGTGTTAGTGGCAAGTTTTTTACACAGAGTAGTAAGTGCTTGGAATGTACTGCCAGAGGAAGTGGTGGAAGCAGATACAATAGCAATGTTTAAGAGGCATCTTGACAGATAAATGAATAGGCAAGGAATAGAGGATACGGACTGCGTAGAGGCAAAGGTTTTGAAAGGCGTCACATGTTGGCACAGGCTTGGTTGGCCAATGAACCTGTTCGTGTGCTGTACTGTTCTTTGTTGTTTGTAATATAATAAAATTGGCAATGTAGAAAACCAGCAGTCCAGTTTAAAATAGGTTAAACACTGTCAATACATTGTAACATGTAAGAGAACCATTTTCAAAATCTTTTACAAGCATTTGTTTGTTTTCCTACTCTTCTACTTTATCCTAAAGATTCTGTTGATAACCAGAGGAAATGGCAAAAGTTATTTTGTTACACTCTTTCACTTCCTGGACTGACATCAATAATCTCAGCTTCAGTCTGTGACAAAGGAAACCAAATTAGCTTCAGGGATACTGGCACCTAAGATCATTTGTTCTGTTCAGTTTTGAAGTTGGTTTTGAAACCTCTCATTCTCGTTGCCAAACAAAGAGACCTTGGGGTGCTGGTTCATATTTCCTTGAAAGTGGAGTCACAGGTAGACATGGTAGTGAAGAACGTTTGGTATGTTTGCCTTTATTGGTCAGTGCATTGAGTATAGGAGTTGGAATGTCATGTTGGGCCTGTTCAGGACATTAGTTAGGCCAATTTTCGAATATGGCACGCAGTATTCTCGTCTCCCTGGTATAGCAAAGACGTTGTTAAACTTGAAAGGGTTCAGAAAAGATTTACAAGGATATTGCCAGGGTTGGATGGTCTGTGCTATAGGGAGAGGCTGAATAGGCTGAGGCTATTTTCCCTGGAGTGTCAGAGGCTGAGGGATGATGTTAGAGAGGTTTATAAAATCATGAGAGCCATGAATAGGGTCTTTTTCCCAGGGTAGGGGAGTCCAAAACTAGAGGGCGTAGGTTTAAGGTGAGAGGGGAAAGATTTAAAGGGACCTTAGGGGCACCTTTCTCATGCAGAGGGTGGTGTGTGTTGGGAATGAGTTGCCAGAGGAAATGTTGGAGGTTGGTACAATTACAACATTTAAAAGGCATTTAGCAGGCTTGCCTTCATTGCTCAGACCTTTGAGTATGGGAATTGGGCCGTCATCTTGAGATTGTACAGGACGTTGGTGAGGCAGCCTCTGGAGTATTGTGTGCAGTTCTGGCTGCCCTTCTATGGGAAAGATATTGATTTGGAGAGGGTTCGGAAAGATACTTACCAGGATATTGCCAAGAATGGAGGGTTTGAGTTATAAAAATAGGCTGAAAAGGCTGGGGCATTTTTCACTGGAGCGTAGGAGGTTGAGGGGTGACCTTACAGAGGATTATAAAATTGTGAGGGACACAGATAAGGTGAATAGCAAGGGTCTTTTCCCTAAGGTGGGGAGTTCAAAACTAGGGGACATATTTTTAAGATGCAAGGAGAAAGTTTCAAAGAGGATGAGGGGCAGCTTTTTTACAGAGAGAGTTCTTCGTGTGTGGAATGAACTTCCAGAGAAAGTGGTGGATGCAAGTACAGTTACAACATTTAAAATACATTTGGATAAGTACATGAATAGGGAACGTTTGGAGGGATATGGGTCAAACGCAAGTAGGTGGGAATAGTTTAGTTTGGGAACATGGTTGGCATGGACTGGTTGGACTGAAGGGTCTGTTTCCATGCTGTGTGACTCTATAAATAAGTGGATAGTGTGACTAGTATTGGACCCAATAAACCTAAGTTACTACTTCAAAAGTACGGATAATTTAGCCATTGACTAAGTTTAAAGGATTTCTCTGCAGAGATAACAGAAGCATCTTCCTTCAGATTAACTATAGACACCTAGCCTATTTTGGAAAGTTAAGAAAAAATGTTGCTTCAAATAAAGGCTGGTAAACTGAGAACTGAGTTTGTAAGCTTATGCTGAAAGTTTGAGTTCTTTGACTCATGATTTTCATTGTTATGCTTGACTGCTGATGACCAGTATGTTAACTGGTCAGCTGTATTCAATGATATTACTAAGTGGCATGTGGAAACCCAGTTGAATAAACTATTTAGGCTTAAGCAAGGAGGTTTGTATAATAAATGATGTTTGAACTAACCTTAGTTCAGTAAGTAACGTGCTGAGATATCTGCAAAATTAGTAGCATCTTGCGTGGAGTATCTTGCATGCCTTCATCAAGCAGTTTTGGTCTGATTAAAGTCTGATTCAGCTGTTAGAAACTATTTATTTAAAGTGAACATGCTGGATAACGCAGCAAAATGCAGTAGAATGTGACCTTTCAACAGTGTTCAATGTAGGGCCACTGGATGTTGCTGGTACACTTAACATGTTGCAGGTTTAGTGATCGGAATGATACAAGCTGCTCCTTTACAGATACAGATGCAATTTTTAGGATAACTTTTGAATATAATTTTCTAATGAGTCATGATAGATAAACATATTTATTAATATTAGATATTAGTGATTAATTTCTTAACCTTTGCAACAGCTGCTACAAGAGTTGAGAACATTTTGACTTGTTTTGTTTTCTTAAATCTTTGCTGTGTGATCACTTTCTTCATTGACCGAGAGGGTAGTGAATTAATTGTATGAGATCTGCTTCTTTGGTTTACTTTTTCTGCTCAGGATGCTGCTGTCATTGAAAAGGACGAAGCTGCCAAGTCTCATTTCAGTGGCGTTCCAACAGAAGAAGAGGCAGGTCGTATGCTCCCATCCTCTTCCTCATTACTGGCCAAAATGCGAGCAAGGAATCACTTGACTTTGTCTCAAAGCCTTGAAAGTGATGAGAGCTCCGAGCCTGCGACAGTGCCCCCACCTGTTCCAACTGAGCATGATGAGCTGTTGGTGGACATGAGGAACTTCATTGCATTCCAGGCTAGTGCTGATGGGCAAGCCACAACTGCTGAGTTGTTACAGGAGTTTCAGTCCAAGTTATCACCTGCTCAGACAGTTGTTTTCCGAGAACTTCTAAGAAACTTGTGCACTTTCCACAGAAATGCGTCTGGGAATGGAATTTGGACACTGAAACGAGAATTTCAATGAACATTCCTGGTGCTGCTAATAATCATGTCAGCAGTGTCACTGAGAACTAACTTTAATTGCTGCTAAGTAATGCAATAATTTCAATAAGAAGGCTTGAATTATCCGTGACAAATTTGTGTTGTCAAAAAGAAAACTTGAAAGTATAGAACTGATTTCAATTTACTCCTCTGCAGGGATAAAATTTAACACTGAAAGAAAAAACTGCAACAAAGCTGTATTTTTTTGTCAGTGGCATAAACTTAAAAGAAAGAGTTTTAACTTGGGTTATATTTCTTGGAAATTTAATGTTGACAAGTTGCTATGGACCTGATATGAAAAAGAACATTTAAAATTGTGTTGTGTCAAGTTTGAATTCATGATTTCAAAGCACTTACTTTTTAGTCTTGAATATCACCATATTTAGTTTTGATCCTAAAATGTCTGAAATTTTTCACTTATTGATGACCTGATTTCATTGGAAGACAAGCTTGTTTACTATGGGGAATGTTTAATTAGCATAGCCCAGTTATATTGGTAAATAGTACACAATTGTAAATGTTAATTAAAAACTAAATGCATACAAACATCTTAAATAAACCAAAGTTTTTTTTTATTTTGCTAAAAATTTCTTTTTGTTACATTGAACTGGTTTTTGAGAAATAGATAAATATAATCTGAATAAAATCAGAACATGGGTTAAAATTGTAAATTTTAATATGGAACACTGGATTGGTCAGTGAAAATAACATTTGTTTTCTTTGTGTGCTTTAAAAAAATTCACTATAAGACAATAAGATATAACATAATGCCAATATGCATTTTGCAATAATACATTACCTATGATTGCTCCACTGCCTCTACTTCACTTCCATTTGAACTGCTTGATTTTATTTTCACAGTTCAAGCAAGCATAATTTGAAAATTTCTGGCCCCAATATTTTGCTGTTCTTCCTTTTTCCTGTCAGCTGCTGAAATCTGAAGACTTGAATTTATGTAGCACCTTATCACATCCTCAGGGCATTTGAAAATGCTATTTGGCCAGTGAGCCATGTTTTGAGGTGTAATCATTCTTATGCAACAGCCAACCTAAGCAGAAAGAAAACATCTACGAACACCAAATGAATCAGTGACCCAGTCATCTAGTTTTTGACAGTCTTAGTCAAAACATTAAGATATTTGCTTGCACTTCTTTGAGTGGTGCATTGGGGTCCTTCTGAGCACGTGAAGTTTAGGTTTGATGCCTCAATACCTTTGATTGTACAGCTCTTCCTCAGTTCCAGAGCTAATTGCCTGTAGATGAGACTGGGACCACAATCTGCTGATTCAGGTACAAGTGTTAGCAACCAAGCGTGCCAGTTTAGAATTCACTATATTTAGTTTGTGTTGGAGAGCTTCCACTTAAAATTAAAAAAACTAGTTTCCATTGAAAAGAAACACTGACATTTTTCAGTTTCTTCAGTAACATCAAAAGTTATTTCCTTAGTTTTGAACCCATTTGGATGTTTTTTTAATGTCTTTATACATTGCTGTTTCAGTGTTGAATGTAACTAACTTATGTGAGGTGGTGAAATTAGGATTTGAACAAGAGTTTGACTCCTTACATTGACAATAATGGATCCTCTTTGTTAATGTGTAGGTCAGTACTGCAATATCTTCCAACTTTATCTTCAAAAAGAATTTAGTTCTTTCACCTCACTTTGGTCTTTTAAGGCTGAATTCTGGAAAGAATTAAGAGACAACTCACATAACGTATTGAGGATTGTCCAATGTTTCATTGTAGAATTAAATAATTTCAAACTTTTTTTGCTGGCATCTAAGCTTCTGTGGAGATATTTTAACAGTTCCGTGTTGAAAGTCCTCAATACTTTGTCTAACTTTTCATTTTAAGTCAATGCAAATCATGACCTGCTTCATTAGCAGCTATTTAAATAAAACTGTTCATTGGACTTAGTTTGTGGGCTAATCCAAGTGAGGAGGGTAAAATTTCTTCTGTCAGTAATTTTGGTGAGAAGCCTCTAGCTCTATAATTAGGGAACTTTTTAACAAAATTTTCAGCAGGAGAGGTTCATCTGTTGCTTCTAACAATGCGCAATTGCATTCAACATCCAAATAAATTGTCAAACCTTGCTGCAAATGCAACTATTTGTTACTGTGTACACTAATCACTGTCCAATTTTCATACAGTTTTCTGAAATGTTGTGGTTGGTTGGCTCACCGAACTCGTTCGTTGTTCCGCAGATGTTTCATTACCCTGCTGGGTAACATCATCAGTGCAGCCTCCGATGAAGCAATCTTGAGTTTTCCCGCTTGTTATTTAAACTCTGGTGTTCGTTGAGCTGGATTACCTCACTTCTGGTTTTCCTCCGCAATGGAGTGTATATGGGGTCTATCTGTATGTGTTGGTTGATGGCTTTCTTAGTGGAGTACCAAGCTTCTAGGAATTCCGGTGCTTGTCTCTGCTTTGCCTGTCCCAAGATCCTGGTGTTGTCCCAATCGAATTGATGGTTCTCCTTATCCACGTGGATAGAGATGAGTGAGTATTGGTCGTGTCTTTTTGTTGCCAATTGATGTTCATGTAACCTTGTGGTTAATTTCCTTCCTGTTTGTCCAATGTAGTGTTTGTCACAGTCTCTGCAGGCAATCTTGAATAAGATATTGGTCCTGTCCATAGTGGGTAGTGGGTTTTTGGTCCGGGTGAGCAGTTGGCATAGGGTGGATGTGGGTTTGTGTGCTACTCTCATGCCCAGTGGTCATTGGAGTCTTGTGGTCAGTTCAGATGTGTTCCTGATATAAGGTAGCATGGTGAGTGTGTCGGGACATGTAGTATCTTCCTGGTGTCGTTCGTGTAATAGGCATCTTCTGACCCAGTTTTTCGGGTATCCATTGTCTTTGAATACCTGGAAGAGGTACTCTTCTTCTTCTTGGCATAGTTCTGTGCTGCTGCAGTGTGTTGTTGCCCATTTAAATAATGTTCTCACGCAACTTCGTTTTTGTGTGTTAGGGTGGTTGCTGTTGAAATTCAGTGCTTGGTCAGTGTGTGTGGCTTTCCTGTGTACCTTTGTTAGGAATTCCACATTTGTCGTGCGTTCCACCGTGACATCCAGGAATGGGAGCTGTTTGTTCTTCTCCTCTTCTCTGGTGAATCTGATCCCAGTGAGGGTTTGATTATTAGTTCATGTGTCTCCTCTAGTTTGGTCCGTTTAATAATGACGAAGGTGTCGTCCACGTAGCGTATCTATAGTTTTGGTTGGATTAGCGAAGGGCCATACTTTCAAGTGTCTGCATCACCGCTTCAGCTATTAGTCTGAAGATAGGTGATCCCATGGGTGTCCCATTGATCTGTTCGTATATTTGGCCATTAAAGGTGAAGTGGGTGGTGAGGCATAAGTAGCTTCAGCATGTTGTCTGTGTTGTTTTAGTAGTGCTGTCATTGTTTCTCTTGCCAGTGGTATGTCGATTGATGTGAATAGGGCAATAGCGTCAAATGATACCATGGTCTCGTCGTCATCTATTCTTAGGTCCTTGATGGAATTGAGGAACTCTTGGGTTGAGTGGATTGAGTGGCATGACTTGCTGACAAGGTGCTTTAGTCTCCTTTGTAGCGCCTTGAGTAATCTATGCGATGGCGTGCCTGGCAGGGAGACTATGGGTCTGAGGGGTACTTCCAGTTTGTGTACCTTTGGGAGGCTGTAGAATCTGGGGGGGCGCGGTGTTAGTTCCTTCAGGTTTCATTCTTAAGAAGTCTGTTTTGTTGATTTGGCCGGTCTGTTTTGTTGATTTGGCCGGTCTGTTTTGTTGATTTGGCCGGTCTGTTTTGTTGATTTGGCCGATCTGTTTTGTTGATCTGTCCGGTCTGTTTGAGTCTCTTTAGTGCGATAAGAATCTTTTTGCCCAGTTGTGGTGTTGGGCATATCTGCACTTGTGCCGGTATGTGTTCTTATCGGCTAGTAGTGCATGTGCTTTGGAGAGGTAGTCCCTTTTATTTAGATTTAGTTTATTATTTATTATTATTTAGCTTAAATAACAGGTGGGAAAACGCAACAGCGCTTTATCAGAGGCTGCACTGGTGATGTTACCCAGCAGGCTAATGAAACAAACCAGCTCGGCGAACCAACCATCCACAACCCGAGCTACAAATCTACTCTAAAATGTTAGAGTTTCCTGAAATCGCAGAAAGAAATCCACCAAACAAGCTAATGCGTAAATTTGAATTACTGTTTTGCATTTTAAACAGGTGAACAAAAAATTGTACACAATTACAAAACGTACAATTGTTCATATGTTCTAATTTGAAATCTTGCAATGAGTAATTGCAACAATGATTTTGGTACATTTGCTTTACAAATGCAGCAGTGCCCTCTAATTAGCTGATCTAATGCATAAGGTGCCATAAAGTTAATAGTGTACCTTTGTCACGGTAGTTGTTGATGTGTTGTGATGTCAATGAAAAGGTTATTTGTGTATTTCAATTGAATTTTCAAAGCATTAAAATATTAGAATAAAAACCTCTTTTTCAATCATTTTTGGCAAGTGAAGTTTCACATGACACCAACTTTTGAGGTTCTATTTGGGTATCATTTCAATAGCCTGAATTGGTGATAACTTCATAAAAGATTTAATATTTTAGATGATATATGTTTGCTTTGTTCCTTGTAGAAAATACATGACGATGCTTTATTATAATTGGCAAGTAGGCTAGTGATTGTGGAAGAAAAAGAACTTTTGGAAGTAGATGAGTAAATTATATTGAACAATGCAGAGTGGGATGAGGGCTTGGCAGAACTCTTAGTTAAAAAGATTAGTTTTTACTCTTAATTCTGAAAGTACATTTAACTTTTTCAGTTTTACAAATGTGCATTATTATCATATTAACCTACAGCCAATAGGACATTCTAAGAAGGCAACGTTGGGACATAATTTCTAATTCTCCACCTTTGCAACCTCTGCAAATGAAATTTTATTAAATCATTCCTTTGTTTGAATATAACTTTTTTGTACTTAATATAATTGAGGAGCATGTATTTACCACTAGGGCATGCATTTAAAATACTACTTTTGAAACACATTTACTTATCATTTCTCGTAGCATTGTTAATATACATGACAATATTGGTTACTGGCTTAAATATTAGGAAATGCAGCATGTATCTGAATAAAGTTTCTCGAGTGAACTATGATCACTAAAGATAATAGTTAAACCAAATACCCAGGGAATGATTTTTGAATGAAATTGAATTTTTAAATTTTTTTCCTGCCTTTGATACCTTTACATTCCTGTACAGTTTAATCAATACGATGTTGCTCTGACATTTGAATGCTACCTTTTAAGTACAAGATGCCCACTTTAAAACATTTTGTTGAATAGATTAACTGCTCGGTAGCCTCAAAAGCGTGGACAATAAAGATTTGTTGAACAAAACCATTTGAAGTGTGTGGTTTTCAAGCATTCTACACAAATTCCGTTGCACAAAACAAGTTGTATTTATATAATGCCTTCAACATAAAAAGAAGCCTCCCCGGTCCACCTTAGGAAGTGTGAATGGGGTCAGGAAAAGGTAAATAGGTCGATAAGCCAACAATGATGGCATGGTGATCCAAAAAGTTGGAGTTCTTAGCATTGAGATGGCTCTTATTGGCAAAGCAGAGGCAAAGAGTTTACAAATGAAGATTATGGGTAATAGAGAATAGAAAAAAAGTAGGACAATAATCCAGATCTAGGCTGCTGTAGCAAAGTACAAAAAAAACTGAAAAAAAACTCAGCAAGTCAGGCAGGAGAGAGCGGGAAGTACTTGAGTTGTTGTTGCCGGTCCAATGACTTATTATGGAGCAGAATTTCAATATTTCAAGTCAATGACATTTCACCTGAACTGAAGGAAGATTTTTTTTTAACCAAGTGGAAGCAGGGAGGGGACTGGAAGAACAAGGAAGATAAGGTGGAGGCTAGAGGAGATTACGTAATAAAGATTTCATGATTCACAGCCAAAGAGAGTTGTCATTGATGTAGTTAAGAAACAAAAGCTGTGACCAAATGAGGAATGGTTTGCTCCATGACTTTAAAAAAGCTACTTACTTCAAGTTCCTGGCAGTGATGGTCGCCAAAAATCTGTCGTGATCCGCCCACGTAGACGTGACCGTCAAGAAAGCACACCGTCTCTACTTCATCAGGAAGCTGACAACAACAAATCAAACGCAAACATGGCTGAAGAAAGAAACAGCATAAAGCATGAAGGTTTCCAAGACTCGTTAGATAGGAAGCAGAGAGGAGGGTTTGGGAACTGGATCAAGATGGTCATAAATTGTTTCATTGATGGTGCAGGGGTGGGGTTTCTGAATGAGATCAAGTCAGAACGTGGGAAGGGGTGCTACAGTGATGGGAGAATGGAGTCAGACCTGAAGTTGCTAGTTGAAGGTGACCTTTAAAATGCAAGAAGCAAGCAGCCCGTCTGAGTCAGCAAGGATTGAGGTGCATTGCAGGGCAAGATGTTAGACCAGCAGGCATTTCAAGAAAGGGGAAAGGGCTTACTCTTCCTTATTTCTGGAACAGAAAATGACAGAGAGTGACGGGAGGTGATAATCTGGGTGGGTGGGATTGGTGAGTAGGCCGGGGCTTCAGCCCAGTGCAACTGCGCGTCAAGCCTATGTAAATTCAGAAACCACCAGAAATTGCTGAAGAAATTCAGGCGGTCTGGCAGCATCTGTGTAAACTCAGAGGCGACCCTAGAGAGTAACCGGGGAAGGGATTGACAAGGTTATAGATACTTGAGAAAGTATTTAGGAGCGACCATGAACCAAGACACGACTTCAGCTCCCTTTATGAACCCGTTCTTAAAAATAAAGTTTAACATGCTTACAACTTAATAAATAAATTTGAACTGGCAAGTTTCTCAAAAGGTTGGTGACAGGATTTCAAGTTTATTTACATAAATACCAAAACCGGTTAAACTATTTCTGAGACAACAGAGTGGAGCAAACGTCAGCTTTCCTGCTCCTCTGATGCTGCCTGGCCTGCTGTGTTCCTCCAGCTCCACACTGTGTTATCTCTGACTCCAACATCAGCAGTTCTTGCTACCTCTGATTTATTTCTGGGGTGCCTTATGCAATTCTGAAAGAAGGGTCGATAGACTCAAAACGTTAACTCTGTTTCTCTCTCCACAGATGCTGCCAGACGTGCTGAGTTTCTCCAGCAATTCCTGTTTTTCTTTATTTCCAAAGTAGTAGTTCTCGTTTGTGTTTTTGCCTTCATCATGATTGCGTAGCCTCCCTCACTCCACATGCATTGATCGACTTCAGAAATTAGTCGTGAACAGAAAGCCAAATCGAATTGAACGTTCATATACAGTGCACATTGGTCGCGCCGCAGTCTGCGCGGCATAAAACCACAACACACGGTCAACACAGAAATAGAGCTCGGCCTTGATTTCGAGACTCTTTGAATCATTTACAAACCAAACTATTGCTGGGTCCTGCAACAGTATGGGATGCATTAATATCAATCCATGTAATTACATTTTGCTGAACTACCTTCTCCTTATCAATTACATCTTACTTATTACACCGCCAAGATCTAACCTTTCAATGCTTCGGGAAACCGAGGAGATAGACCGAGGAATTGGATTAGATAACTATGTCAGCGGAATTGTTGTGTACTAATGAAAAACAACAACAACACGCCTATGAGGCTCTTCTAGCCTTGCCTCATGAGAACCTACTAATGAAAATATGGGCCTTTATTACTCTCTCCTCACCACGCACACATTAAATAATGCTTCATAATCACATAATGTGTCCTTTAGTTAATGAATCTGTTCTGGAAGAAAAGTTTAACACAAAATTAAATTTGCTTTACTTTGGCTTTTAAATTTGCACATCAAATGCTTTTGAGCGCCTGAAAAAAAAAGCAGATATCACTTTTTTTTAACAAGAGTTTGAAAACGAACACTTAATCTCTAGGCATCGAGAGAGAATGAAAATAACCTTTACAGGAAACTGGATACGACTGAAACAAAAGTGATCCCTCGTGCATTTCATGACTTTCAATATCAATATCATCCTTGTTTTGATGCCATTTGTTTTAAGACATCCTGATCAGTTAGTCAATGCAGTTCCAGAAATATTTTCAGGATGCTGGAAATCTGAAACAAAAACTCAAATTGCTGGAGAAACTCACCAGGTCTGGCAGCATCTGTGGAAAGAAAGCCGAAACAGATTACTGAACTGGAAACGTTGACTCTGTTCTCTGATAACAGATGAGTTTTTCCAGGGATTTCTGTTTTTTTTTCAGCATCCGCGGTTCTTTGGGTACTTTTTGGCGGCTGGGGGAGGTGTGGTGTTTATTTGTTGATCTGTAAAACGAATCCTTTTATTTTTTTTTACACAGTGTTGTTCCTCAAGTTTACTATCAGATTTGCATTTATTTGATGCATTTTGTCGTTTTGAACTGTATTGAAATCTCCATTTGCCTCGAATATGACTTCTTTCTAAACAACTGTATAGTTGACGTGACATATTTTGTTAAAAGAAACTTAAGGTTGGTCTTTTTTCCCCCCATTCCTTCTTATCTCTCCCTTGTAGTTACAAAACCTGCAATTTATGACGGGATGTTACTCTCACACCAGAGAGAGGTTCCGCGGGGCAATGCCTCGCGCAGAGTTAATTTCATTTGTCACAGAAATCCCCAGAAATGTGTTTTTTTTTAAAGTGAATGAATTGGACCGAATGTAATCCGGGGCTCGAGTACAGAAATCTGATCACCAAGAAATATTGGCGAGGAGCTCTCTCAGCCTCACCCTGAAATTACATCCTGATCGATGCAATTACCAGAAATGGAAACATATTGGCAAAAAAAAGGACTGAAATTTACAGAATCCTTTCCTCCTCGAGCTCGATGGAAAGAAAGACAGCAAACACTAGGTTTTCATTTGCGTCAATGTTCAGCCTTTTTCGTTTGCTTTCCGTCGTAAGCCTGGGCTGGCAGCTTACAGATAACGCGACCCAGGTTCCTTGGAAACCGGATGAGCAGAAATTAACCAGGGCATGTGGATCCCAACAGGAAAAAAAGAAGTGTCTCTAACAGCCTGTGACAATTAAACCAACCATTTACATTCATAATGCTCCCCATGCACAATTGATGGCAGATCCTTAGTGTAATCGTCTGTTGTAGCACTGCAGTAGACTTATAGAGTGGCCCGAGTACTATAAGACCTGTGCATTTTTTTAAAGACTGGTGCCGACATAATCCTGAACACTACAAAGGTCAGCATCAAGCATAAAGGCTAGGTAATAGTTTCTGCATGTTTTTATTGCAAATAGCTCAACACAAAACGTTTCTGAAGCAAGGCTTTGTTGCATTAATTTCTCAACAGAAATGGAAGAAGCAGCGATTAGTAAAAAGAACGGATATATATTAATTGAGCATTACATGCAAAACAGTTCCTAGGAGGAAGAATCATTACTGTATTTTTGTAAGGAATAATTCTTCTATACAAACTGCATTTGAATTTTGAAACTAAATGTAACATCTT